TAATCATGCACACAATAACAATTATTAACGACGACGACAACGACGACGACGACAACGGCGGACAAAATTTTCCCTCAATATACCTTTCCCTTCCATCTTTGATGGTACGGGCAAGGTAAAAACTGTTTTAATACAAGACAGCAGCACCTACATAAACTAAGCCAGTAATACATTCCTTGTATTCAAATTTTTATCTTTTTTTTTTTTTTAATGCCTTTTTGTTCCCTTACTTTTTATGTGGTTATTTTTCTTTTCATCCCCTCCGGGGGATGTTGTGTGTTAATAAATAAATAAATAAATACAGCTTTCTTAATGAAGCTAACATGGCTATGGATGTGTGCATCTCACCAACTCGCATGGTTACCCGTCCATCCAGTGTTGGTGGTTTCTTCCACAAGATTTGTTGGGCTTTACTGTAAATTGCCATGTCAGCAGAAATCAGTATGTGTGACTGACCAATCTTTGTTGACATCTTAACTAACTTGTTGAGAATAGTGTATATGGTTGAGAGGTCAGATGGTGGTGCTCGAATAAATGGCATATAACGTATTGTCGTTGTTGGCAAGTTTCTGTCAGATAGGGTTGAATTGAAACCTGTCCAAGCAGGGATCCTCTGTTGTGCATCATCAGCTTTGTGAAGGCGTCCCAAAGTCCACAGTAGGTCCCTTTTCTCGGCATCTGTGTAACTTGCTGCTGTTCTCTGCACATCGGTGTCTGATAATTTTTGTACATCTGGAGGTTCAGGGTGCCTTGATGGTTTGTTGTACCTCAATATTGCATCATTCATATTGAAAGCTTGTACAGATGACAGCGACTTCTGTGGTACTCAATTGCAGCATCTACAAGTATGGAGTCACCTACTTGATGCAACCCTCTTGGAATGAATTCTCCTTCATGTTTTTGATCAAGTGCAACAGATGTGAGAAATCGTCTAATTTCATCATAGGATACACAGTAACCTAGGGAATGCAGTTCCTCTATGAAAGTTTTGCTTCCAAAGTTACAAGTACAAGTGCAATGGGTGTGCGAACCTGCTGACACTGGTTAATCAGAGTATGACAAATATAAATTATTTTGAGATCATCTTGTCCTTCATCACAGCAGCTGGAAACATTCTTGAACGCACTTTCTTTTACACACAACATGACAAAGTCATACATGATGCTAGGGACATACTCACTACAGTGTTCAACATTGATACCCATACTGGATGTGTACGTGTCCTCGTCCTTAATACCAGCCATGCTCTCTCGCAGTATAGAAGCTGCCATATGTAACACTGCCATATGTAATCCATCATGCTTTCGTCAGCTTTGGAAGATCACAATTGTCACACGCAACGTAATATTACTGTAATTGGTATAGTACAGGTGTGATGGTTCAAATACCAAAATGGCAACAGTAACATAAAGACTTCCCTGGCGGCGATGATAACATACGAACACGGAGCCAACAGATGAGGTTTCAACTGGTACTGGTATTATTATACTCTGCAAACATCAAGTACAATAACTCGGTAAAACTCCAAACCTCCAACAACTAGATACTTAAACTCCAACACAATTCAACGAGATCTCCGATCTGATCTCAGTGCTGAACAACTCCCCTATATATACCCACACTGTCTATAAATAGACCATTACATCAGCATACATAATGAGTCTGGAACTTACTACAAATTTCTAGAATGTTCCATTACCTATTCAACCAGTTTCTAAAAATTCCACCCAGACACAGTACGGTTCTAGAACATTCTCAGTCACACGGAAGTGGTAAACAAGTCGTATGCGACAACAATAACAAACTACCATGTGCACTCTGAAAATAAAAATATGGTGTTTGTTAATGCAGACAGACCACTGTCACTGCAATGCACCCATGTAATCATACCGACATCAACAGAAGAGACGATACGAAAGACGACAATGTCATTTGTAGCACTGGAGCTATGGTCATTCAAACCATATTACTTTATTGGACAACACACAAATATACAAATTATAGCAAAATGAGGTTTCAGTACAACCAGAGATAATCAGGGATTTTTTTCTGGAAATTGTGACCTGATTATATATTCAAATTCGAGGTCTTTTTGAAAATGTTACCATGGTGTACCAAAAATTGAAGCAAAAAAAAAAACGTTAAAAAAGTAGTTATTCAGTGAAAAAAAAAATCTAGCTAAATATTATCAATGTTGCTGTCAATATCTTGATAGAACAAGGTTTTACAAACAAAATGACACCAAATATATGCATATATGTTAAAGAATGTGACAATAACACAACTTTTCGTCAATTTTATCCTAATTCGTAAACACGCCATTACGCAAATTGGTAATTGCACCTAAAATATATGTTAAACAACCTAAATTTTTTCACAACCACCCATTTCCCACCACAGAGACCCCAATGCAATGAAAACACATGGTTGTGAATTGTTATACCCTGGGGAGGGGTTACTCCCTTTTCTGAGACCTTATATCAGAATAGCCACAGCACTAATATAAGTAGTTAGGTATTTATCAATCTATAGTACAATAATTCCAGTTCATGAAATTGAAAGCGTGCCAGTTCAATAATCAGAAAGACTACCAGTCTGAGAGTAAAAGTGCTAAAAACAAAACATGCAATTGGCGAGCTGAATAGAAAGAGGGAGACCACAAATACAATAAAAATGTGATTCATTTAAAAGCTGGAGAAGCATGCAGTTGTTATATCGCTCGTACGGACACCCATCATGGTCATTGTCAGGATTCCCACGGGTAACGCTTGTATTGAAACAATATCAAGCGTATCTTCACATTGCTATTAACAAGCATGGTTTCTAAAACAATATCCATGTCGCTTTTAGCACATATGTGGTATATGGGCAGCTGACAGTGTATGGCACCACGTGTAATAATATAATTCGTAAAGCATTATCACCTGCATGTAGAGCATTTCACCACGGAGTAGAGGTGTTAAAATCACTATTGTATTTTAATTCAATGTATTGTCCTGATGTTTTCAATGTATTCAATACACCCGCATATGGGTTACGTCAATGCGTTTCTTTCTCCGCGATGAAACTAACCCCTCCCTGATGCAGTTAATTTATAATTGAAAAACTAAAACTAAAAAAAAGAGAACTTATGAAAAATTCAAAGTTTTATAATTTTGAAAAAATACTTGGATGTGTTGAATTTGAAACAAAGATTTCAATGACAAAATTTAGAACTAGTAATCACAATTTAGGGAGACATACGCTACAGAATTTGCAAACAGTGTACACAGAATGAAATAGAAGAACTACACCAACAAATCATACTTTACATTTCCACAAGAAACATAGGATGATCTCCAGAAATTTAATTTATAATTAAAGATTAGATGATGTAATAATAAAAAAAGATTGGCAACTATATTTACAACGCATTTCAATCAATGCATGTAGTGGTAGTTATTACAAATAATTTTGACTGACAGAAACATTGTATTTCTAAGGATGCAATAAAGTTATTATTATAATATTATTACATAGACCAATGGCAGGTATATGCTGAACACTATTGTTTGAATTACATTACTTACTTACTCACTCCTCTTCGCTCCGGGTGTACCATAAGGCGCCAACAAATCTCCTTCTAGGCAAGCCATCCTATTTCATTCCAGGTCTTCCTTGCTGCGTTCATCTCCTCTTCCACAGTCCTTCTCCAGATGCCCAGAGGCCTGCCTTTTTTTCTTTTCCCAGGTAGTGTCCATCTCAATGCCACGTGAGGGTGTCTGGTTCTGTCCATTCTTAATAAATGCCCCAGCCATCTCCAGCATCTCTGCTTCACCTCAGCTGTGTTACTATCGATGCAGGTGTGCCTGTAGACTTCTAAGTTGGTGACATGCTGTTCCCAGCGGACCTTGAGGATGCGGCGAAGGCAGCGTTCTTCAAACCCCTCAGCCTGCTTTCAATCTTCCACATCTTGGAAGCATAGAGAAGGATGGGTCGGACTTGGACTTGTAAATCTTCAGCTTGGTCCTGGTCGAGGGCCTTGGACTTCCAAACATTCCGCAGACTGTTGAAAGCCTGTGCTGCCAGTCCAATTCTAGTGGAGATTTCTTTCTCAATGTTGTTGTCGGTAGAAATATAGCTGCCCAAGTACTTGAAGTCTTTTACCTCTTCAAGTTCGGTGACACAGACACTGGTTTTGGTTATACTTCTGTTCTGTTCTTTCATTATTTTGGTCTTGTTTGGGTGGATCTTGAGTCCCACGCTCTTTGCTGTTTTGTCCACTTTATCTGTCTTTTCCAGGATGTCCTTCTGGGTATGAGAGAGATGGGCAATGTCATCGGCAAAGTCGCAGTCCTCCAGTCTGCTGGTCAGTCTCCAGACGACTCCTCATTGCTTGTCTCTGGTGCCTTCCTCATTACCCAGTCAATGATAAGAAAGAGGGTGGGTGATATCACACAGCCCTGTCTGACTTCAAATGGAACAATTTGCTTTGTTGTCCATCATGATTTACACAGCACTGGTTGTTGGCATACATGTCCTTCAGGATGGTCATGACCTTTGTTGGGAAGCCATATGCCTCAAGGATTTTCCATAATGATGGATGGTGGGTGCTGTTGAATGCTTTACAAAGTTGATGTAGTTGATGTATAATGATGAGTTCCACTCGGACTGCCCCGACTAAGGTACACAGGAGAAAGATCTGGTCGATACATACCCTTCCAGCTCTGAAGTGTGCCTGCTCTTCTCTTAGGATCCTCTCAATACCTTGTCATAGTCTCTGTAGCAGTACACGACAGAAGATCTTTCCTGACACCGAAAGGAGGTTTATTCCTCTCCAGTTGCTGCAGACTGATAAGTTGCCTTTCTTTGGTAGTTTGACAATAATTCCTCTTTTCCAGGCTTCAGGCACTTTCTCCATTTCCCATACATTGTTGAAGAGATCCTTCAAGGCTCTGGCACTGGTGCTGGGGTCTGCCTTCATTATGTCGGCAGTGATTCCGTCTTCTCTAGGGGCCCGGTTTCCTTGTGTCTGTTAAATAGCCTCTTTTATCTCTTGTTCTGTGATGTTTCCACGCTTCATTTCTATGTTGTAGCCAGTTCTTTCAATCTCTGCCTCTTCTTCTGGGTCGGGTGTGTTCAGTATGTCTCTGAAATGTTCTGCCCATCTGTTCAGCTTTTCCTCTTCTGTCATCAGCACTTTCTTATCCTTGTCTTTCACTACTGTTGGTGTCTCTTGCTTCTTTCTCCATATATTCTCTTGTCCTTTCTAGCACTCTTTTACACAGTAGTGTTCAAAACCCGGTGTGCGTATCTGGCTCTTGATCTTTTTTCTGCCTTTCCTCTTAGCGTTTGTTGTTTCACTACTTTTTGTTCCTTTCCTCTATGAGCTTCCAAGTATTCTCCAAGATCCACCTTTTCCTTTCCTTTCTTCTGTAACCAAGCACCTCCTGTCCAGTGTCAGAAAATGTCTTCTGTATCCTGTCACATAGGATGTTAATGTCATCTAAAGGCTAGGAATTGGTTGGAAAGTTCAACTGTGAATTGGGTCCTCTCTGCAAGGTTCTTTCAGTCTGCCAGAGACCAATGGCTGTTGGCGTTTCTCCTTTCTCATCTTCTTCAGCTGTAACTGCAATTTGCAGAGTACAAGGTGGTGGTCACTGCTGGCATCTGCCCCTCTCACTGCTCTGACATCCTTCATTGACCTTCTCCACTTCTGGTTAACAGCTATATGGTCAATTTGGTTTGTATTACATAAAACAGTATAAAAATGATTGAGCCATTGCACAATTGCCATACATACACTATACATTGTTGAGGATTTCTGTAAGTGTGGTAGTATAGCAAATATCAGTAAAGGTTACATGGCCACCAGCAGTGAGATTCATCTGGATGGAACTAATATAAGTACAGGCAAATTACAAACATAAACGTACAAACACACAAGATTTTAACTCACGAGCATTACAAAGAGTCTTGCCACTGTAAGCATATGTGTACACAGTATGCTACAATCACAGACTGTTAGTTGGCTCCAACTGAAACTCGGGTATTTCTCGCACCAAGTCCACCGCGAGATATTTCGTTTTACGCACAATGGAGGACGTGGATAACCGGACTTGAGCTCCGGTGCGAATTTCCCAATTTCATAAAAATAATCGTATTCGAATCTCAGGCTAGCTAATTTGGCGTGGTGAGGAGCATACAGGCATTTATACCGCCTGGGGGAACGAACAACTGACTTGTCAAATAAAAATAAATACAAATGTAAAGTAAACAGATTTAATGTTTGAACTAGTAATTCACTCAATATAGAAGTACAACGGCAATTTCTGAAATTACAAAATGCGTGCTTTACAGAAATTTTACAGTGAAAACACAATAGCTTTACCGCTATTGTCAGTTCTCATTGAATGATACATAACACAATAATAAACTTATGTCAACAAAATCGCCAACCAGTTCACAACGTTCTGTACAGTCCTGTACAGTAAATTCGCTGACCACGAGGCAAGTATAATCAGCGATGACGCAAGCAATGTCGTCGCCAGAGAACACGATCACTCTCAGGAAATCACAACTACTCCTGATGATTCTAGGCTCCTCGATCTGATGTACGTCAAGTTTCTTGAGCCACACGTTGCAAAAGATCACTCAATGCTCATTGATCAGTTCCTGAGTCGCATCAATTCGGTCATCGATGACACAGTCCAACGCTGTACG